TAAAGAATCATTTTTTATTAATCTAGACCATTTTTCTGAAAAACAGTTACCATACTTATTTATGTATTTGTATCCTGCCTTTTTTATTTTTCCAAATAAGATGGCAAAACATTTCCAGCACACCTCTTATTTCCCCCACAACAATAATCCTGTGAGGTGATTTGGACTGGGAAAGAATGACTGGCCCTTGGTCACCCAGTTGGCTTCATGACATGAGCATTTGCTTTACAAAGAGGAAATGTAAATGCTGGTGCCTTTGAATATTAAAAAAATTAACTTGCCTTCTATAAATCATACCGTTAAGCTATAGTTTTCCAAGGTGTTAAGGAGATATTATCACAAGACCTCAATTAAAGATTAAAAGTGTAGACCTTTTCCATTGAAAGAAGGTATCATTGGACTATGAGCAACCACATAAGACTGTTGCTGAACTGGTTCAGCTGGTACAGAAGGCAGCAGTCCGTGTTCTAATGGGTGTAAATTGCTTGAAGCACATTATTCTACTTATTAGAATAATGACTGTCAAGATCTCTTCTTAATTCCAGAGTATAAGCTGATTATTTAGAACTCTCCGTTGCATTGGGTCCATCATGAAGTCTGCCTCCTTTTTGATGCCATGTAACAATCTATACCAGGGGTAGTCAACCTTAGCTCTTTTATGACTCGTGGACTTCAACTCCCAGAATTCCTGAGCCAGCACAGCTGGCTCAGGAATTCTGGGAGTTGAAGTCCACGAGTCATAAAAGAGCCAAGGTTGACTACCCCTGATCTATACTATTAACTTAAGCTCTCCCCTCACTGTACCATCTCTGTGCAGAATCCATATGACAGAGATGCAGAGAGGCATTCTTGGTGGCTGCTCAACCAGTTATGGAACTTTCTTCCCTTGGAGACTTGCTAAGCGTTCATGGACCTTTCGGAAGCATTGTAAGATGTTTTCATTTGGTCTGGCTTCTAGTGACTGGGGTTAAGCCATTAATAGGTTTATTAAAACTTACATTAAAACAACTTGAATGTAAAAGTAATATTGCCGTGCCTTGATTTTTAAAATATTTTTTACAAATGTCATACTGGGTAAAACTCACTTTTCCATTTTTTTGTCTCTTAAAATCTGATTTGGCGCAAAAATACAATGCTTTGAGATGTCTACAAAAAGATTTCATTGCAGTCCTAAATTTAATATGCTTGTTTTGAAATTAGGTAAAATGTTTTCTAGGGGGGAAAAGCATATAGAATTTATGATGTTAGGCAATAGAAATAATCAGACGTTAAAGGAGGGTTGCCTCCTTTTATTTAATTATAAATTTATTGGTCACTTGCCAATTTTCTTTTGAACAGTTTAGCAAAACAAAAAAACACTGCACTAAAAATGTAATACTAACAACTATAGAAAACAATAACTATATTTATTTCAGGCCTGGAATACTAGAATGGCCCTTGCCTGTCATTCAAATAATGATCATCTAGGTGCCTTTAAGAATTCTGTCTCCTTAGTCACCACCCACCACAAGTCATTCAGTGGAGAGCCCCCCAGTAATGATGTTTTACAGTATATCTCCATTGTTTTATATGTGAAATTTTAAAAAATGTTTAGATGTGTTCCTTTTATTTTACAATAACTTGGAAAAAAATTCGGTTGACGGACATCTTTCCTAAAAGACAGCTTGGACGCAAAATATCAATTATATTTGTACACATAAATTACATCATTTGCAGAATCTAATTATGATGGGTTTGCTTTTTCTGATCCATTCCCCACAGTTTAATAAAATTATCAGATAAGTATTGGAGTTGCTAGGTTAAAATTGTGAATCACATTTCTCTCTCTTCCCCAGATTTTTGCAGCCTTTCCTACAAAAGGCTGTTATTAACATACAAATAAGATTATTTATTATTAGGTAAAATAATAACCAGCTGTGAGAAAACAGCAATAAATGCAAGTTCGGGATTATCAGATGAATGTTTGTGTTTGTCCTTACTTATTCTGGCACATAGTAATCTATGGATTTGATTTTTTAAAAACTTATAATACAGGTAGTCCTTGACTTATGACCACAATTGAGCCCAAAATTTCTGTTTTAAGTGAGATGTTTGTTAAGTGAGTTTTGCCCCATTTTACAACAGTTCTTGCCACAATTGTTAAGTGAATCATTGCAGTTGATAAGTTAGTAACCCAGTTGTTAAGTGAATCTGGCTTTCCCATTGACTTTGCTTGTCAAAAGGTTGCAAATGGTGATCACATGACCTTGGGACACAGTAAGGGTCATAAATATGAACCAGTTGCCAAACATCTGAATTTGGTCATGGGGATGCTGTAAAGTATTGTGGAAAACAGGTCACTTTTTTCAATTCCGTTGTAACTTTGAATGGTCACTAAATGAACTGTTGTAAGTCAAGGACTGCCTGTACAATCCTACATATCTGCTCACTAAGTTCAGTGAAACTTTTTACTCTACCAGGTAAATGTGTAGGAATGCAACCGTACGGTTCTATTTTTTCCTGTTTTTAAAGAATAAAAATTATGCATAGGCCAATGACATTTTATAAAATGTGTAGTGTGTTAAAATTAGAAATGTAGGTAATATATTTATTTAATACATCCTTAAATATGAAACACTTTTCTATACTAAATTTCATTCTGATTTACATATTTTGCCAGCAGCTATTAAAATAATTTGCTATAAGGTTTACATTTGTAGATTATTGAAATAATAACTTTTTTGGTCAAAATAATTATATTGGACATATGTGAGCATGTGTATACATGTAAGAATTAGTATTCCATTGTCTCTCTGAAAGTGTTGAGAACAAACATTTTATGAATTTTGATATTTAAATTTTTACATTTACAAATAGTATGAGTATCTTTCTCAATTTTAAATTCAGGTTTTCATTAGGTAATTAATATATTTCCTGAACAAATATGCATACTCCAGTTGCTAAAATCTGTTAAAATGTTTGTTTGGAATGAAATAGTGGAATTTAGGAATACGTACTAAAATCTTTGGTCATATATCTGCAGGAACTGTAGAATTAGATTTGCTTTGATTTGCCTTATATTCACTTGAAACTACTAAAAAAAATACTTATCTGTAATTACACGCTTGTTAAAAGAAAGTGAGACAGTTGTTTTGTAGGAAAACATGCATAGGATCCAACTGTTTAGTATCCAGAACTTTCAGAAGCAGTTAGTAGGAAAATAGCATTTCTACGAGAGGCAATGAAAAATTGTCTTGAAAAGTTATAATTTGATAGTTAAAATGTAAAGATGAAGATTGTAAGTCAGATAAGAGGAAAAATTCACTCTCATAAGTTCAGAGACTTTAAAAATTCTATGGCATTGTACTATAGTACAAGGAAGTCTTAATAAATCAGCTAGGAAGACCAGTGTTAGTAATACAGGTAATCCTTGACTTAACAACTAATTGTTCAGTGACTGTTTGATATTATCATGATGCTGAAAAAAATGGGCTTAACGACCTATGCACAAGGCAGTAATGCAAGATGGCCAAAAAGGCAGAAATGGGGAGTTGGGGGTGGAGGGAGCTGGAGGCAGTGTTTTTATTTATTTTATTTATTTATTTATCAAATGTATTGGCCACCCATTTTACTACAGGGTAACTCTGGGCGGCTTACAATACAATCCTTTATTGTACTGAGGCTCAGGCAAGGCTAAGAGAGGGACCAAGTCATGAACGGGTGGGTGTTCACTTAACTACTTGCAAATCTGAGTGAATGACCACAAAAGGAAAAGCCAGGATTACCCTCAGAGGTCAGTGCAGTCATGTGACATCTTGCTTTATGACTGTACCAGTTTACAACAGAAATTCCTTTTCCAATTGTCACGAGACGAGGACTACTTGCACATTTTTATGTGGCTTATTGTGCCAGTTATATTTTTGTCTGTAGAAATTAGATGTTCCCTGTGTCTTTGTGCCTCTCCTTTAAAAGAAAAGTAGTTTTTAATAGCTCTTTGTAGTTGGCTGAAATTAAAAGATATTTAGATATTAATGTGCTCGCTGTGTATTTTAACTCCATTTTAAGTGAAGTAACTTTAAACAAGATACTGTATAATTGAAATGTTAAAATCATTTTTTTTTATAAAAAAAGCATTGATTTTATCTGGTTTGCAAACTTTCATATTGCTCTTTTTCCATTAACTGTCTTCTTGCTCATTGCCATCAAGTTTTAAAATGTGGCTCCACTTGATTATGCTCACATATCCCTTATGGAAATACTTCAGTAGCTGCCACTTAATTATCAAATTACTACTATGAATATAGAAACATGCTTCACATCTGCCAAATCAGGAGAATAGCAACAATATAATTTGCTTTCATTTAAAAAAAATATTGCAGAAATATCTCAAATGATTTATTTATTATTTATTAAAGTTTTCAATAGAACTCCTTGTTAGCATATTTTACAGTGGAATTTAATTCAAACCCTTTGCTTGTTGTAAATGTGAGTGTGAGTAGGACAATTCTAACATGTGTTTGTGTTTCTAGGTACGAGCACACCAGTTAGTTTTACCACCTTGTGATGTAGTGATCAAAGCTGTAGCTGATTATGTCCGTAATATTCAAGACACCTCTGATTTGGATGCCATAGCTAAAGATGTTTTTCACCATTCACAGGTAAAAAAAAAAGAATAAAAGTTCATGGATATGAACTTGAAGAGTATGTTGTGGTACTTGTGAATTGCATTACATGAATATGGCTTTTATTTTTACTTGTGTTTTATTTTTCTCTTAGTGAGAATTGCTACAGGTGATCAAAATTTAGGGGGAAAAATGCTTTATTATTTGTTCATAAAAAAAAACCCTTAGGTTGGCTGATTGCCTTTACACAGTTGCAAAAAGTTTTTAACTGTATAGTAATGCTGGTAGGACTGATGATAGTTCATTTGTGTATTTAATTTTAATAAATGTTAATTTTAACATTCTTTTAGTCTAGAACGGATGACAAAGTTAAACGATTTAAGAGAGCAGTTGCATATTATTCAGCAACTAATAAGCCTATGCCATTTCATCCACCACATTATCTAGGTAAGTTCTTATACTCATGTAAGTTATTGAAGGATTTTGGTTAAATATGAACTGTTTCTTCAACCAGGCAACTTGCAGATGTATTAGAACCCCAATTTCTAGTGATCAGTCTAAAATTGAGAAATATTATCTTATGACATGTAAAATAATACAGAAGGTATAAGTTATACCACACTAATCCTGTCAACTAGTTGACCATTACTAGTATTTTAAATGTAATAGTGTGAAATGCAGTATATATTTGTATTTGAAGTGTATGTATGAAAAAGCAGCCATATTGGCCTCACTGGTCAGTGTAGTACCTTGACACAAAGCAAAGGAACGCAAACAATTTTATGTGGACTCAGAATGAACTCTGTTATTAATCAAGACAGAACATTTTTTATTCCATATAACCATACAAAAATCTAAAGCTAGGGCTTTTACTATTAATTGCATTAGTAGAATACGTTTTTTTTAAAAAAAAATAGAAACACAAAACTAGAGCAAATGAGTAAATGTCAGTTTGCATTGGTTGATGATCTTACTTCAGTTAACAATTCAATTTGTAGTCACTGAAACTTATTCCCAAAAGCTAGTAGATATTTTGACATTTGTCTTCCTACTTCACAATAGTCTGGTTATTCTGAGATTTATTTATTTAGCATATTCTGAGTTAAGTCACCATGACAAAGGATGCAATGTTGGTTTGTTGCATGGATTGTCTTCTGTATCTCTTAAATCAGGGGTCCCCAATCTGTGGGCCATTGCCCACTAGTGGGCTATGTGGGATTACAACCAGGCCGCGGTAATGGCCGATGAGCATGTGCACATGTGCATCCTCACTTGCTTGAGCAGTGGGCAAGCACGTGCAGTCCATTCGTGTGAGCGACAGGTGCATGTGCACGCCGCTCACACATGGAGCTGCATGCACGCTTGCCAGCCGCTTGTGCAGAACCATCTCCTCTTCCCCCCTCCCACCAGTCTGCAAAGCCAGAAATGTTGGGGAACTCTGTCTTGAACTGAAGACTGGAAGAACAATCTGTTTATTTTCTTTGGAGTGAGACCTATTTTTTCAGCTTTAGTGGATTAGTTAAAAACAAAAACATCGGTAGCTATAAAAATACTGTTTGATCATGGTACGTAAAAAGAGGTCGTCTTCATGTGCTTTATTCTTTGTCATTTTAAATCTTGATTTCTGACCACCATAAGAGAATGTTATTCAACTCAAGAGAGTTATGAATTGTTTACTGCTATAATAAACTCCCTAGATTTTATGTTTCTATTTCTGCTTCTAGTTCTAAAAAAACAGAATCAGATGCAATACCTGTACACTTCTTTTCTACTGGGGAAAAATGCAAACAGTGGAGGCTAAAATGGTGGGACTAAATTTATTACGTAAAGAGAAAAGGAGAGTGTTTTGGAAAGAACATGAGATTGCCAGAAAACTGGCAGTCAGCATACAAAATCTCTCCTGAAAGAGGCAGTAATGGAACAGAAATTGACAAAAGCTCTGAAATTGAAGTAGAAAAAAAGAAATATCACTTTAATAAATCAGATCAGAATTAAAAACATAAAATAAATGCCTGACATCATGACTTTGTTCTTTTGTTTTCATGTTAAATAATCATCCAGATTTATGTTGGACCATACTTCATGTAAGAGAAAAACATCTTTTTGTTTCCCCTCCCAATCCCCCAAACAGGCAGACCAAATCAATTGGGAATGCCGGGTATAGTGCCACCATATGTGTCTCCTCAGATGCTTAACATTCCACAATCCGCCCTGCAAGCAAAGCAAGCGGCAAGTACATTCCCCCCTCCCCTTTCTGCTATATAATCCTTCTGCTGTTGGAACTCATGATGCATGTATATGCGTGTGGGCAATATGCACAACTTTAAGAAAACATGGCCTAATTTATATTTTCTTTTAGGCCCAGCCTATCTCTAGTCATGGTAACGCCCAGGGTCAGAGCCCATATCCTTATAGTCTGTCAGAACCAGCCATCACATTGGACACAAGTGGAAAAAATATTTCTGAGCAGAATTACAGCAACATTCCTCATGAAGGAAAACATACTCCATTATATGAACGATCCTCTCCAATAAACCCAGCTCAGAGTGGGAGTCCCAATCATGTTGATTCAACATACTTTCCAGCCTCTTCTACGTCATCTTCCTCAGATAACGATGAAGGCAGCGGAGGTGCTGTGAAGTAAGTAACAACAAAAGACAGCAGGATTGGCTAAAACAACCTGCTCTTGGCCTCACATTTGTTAAGATGGATCCAGATCTTGCCAAATAACTCTCTCGTGGAAAACTTCCAAGCTGTCTCCTCAGCAGACCTTCAGCATGAAAAATATTAAAGAGTAGAAGAGGGATCTTGGGGGAATAGTAGGAGCTGAAGAACTTGATGGAGATAGAGTGGGAATTGCTTTATTAGGTGATCTTTGACGTGTGCCCTTTGGCTTGAAAGAGACTTTTGAAGATCATGCTGAGATCGGTAAGACAGAATAAAGTGTGCAAGATCACACTGCCCATCTGTTTCTGTGAGATCCCTCTGTTATAGATTAATCCATATTTATGCAACACTTTTGCATATGGAGATCTCTTTTAATTAAGAAAAGGAGGATAATTTTTAAAAGTGGCATTTTCCTAGTTGCCTCAGCAAAATATTTTACCCTGGTCCTATTACTAAAAAATTATATAGTGTTTGTGAAATATTTTATATATTTTAAAAGAATATTTTGCTCTTAACTGGTTGAGGTGTCAAAAGCTTTAAACTTCGACAAAAACAATATTAAACTAAAGCCTTCAGAAAATTGGAAGCAAATTTCAGAGTAATGGTGACATACCATAGTTTGCTCTGTACTAATCAAAATAAGTTAATCAGTCAATTAGAACAGAGCTGGAAGGGATGTTGGAGGTCTTCTAGTCCAACCCTCCTGCTCAAGCAGGAAACCCTACCATTTCAGACAGGTGGCTGTCCAGTCTTTTCTTAAAAGCCTCCAGTGATGAAGCACTTCCAATTTCTAAACGCAAGCTGTTCCACCGGTTAATTTGTTGTCACTGTTAGGAAGTTTCTCCTTAATTCCCAGTTGCTTCTCTCCTTGATTAGTTTCCATGCATTGTTTCTGGCTTTTACTAATAAAGTTAGTAACAAATAACATTCATTAATTGCCACAGGTGCATGTGTTTGGGTATACATAGGTTCAGCAAAGGGAGAAAATCCTTTCTAGTGCTTTTTTGATTATTTGCGTCCATAATTATGACTTCTCAAACTATTTTTGTCTTTTCTTTCTTTAATTCTTTATAGATATTTATAATCCTTCCCTCTCTATATTCTCAGAGCACTTTACTGAAAATTAATATGATACAAACAAATCATGCAAATATGCAAAAGGAGCCATTCTAAAAGAGCAATATTTAAATCAACCCATGCTGATGCCATGGCATTGTCATGGCATCAGCATGGGTGCAAAATACCAAGAATGGTCCTGAAAATACTATTTCACCTGCTGGCTAAAACTTGAGTACAGGTAATCCTTGATTTACAGCCACAATTAGAACAGGAATTTGTGTCGCTAGGCAATGTGATCATAATGTGTATCCTCACATGAACACATTGCTTAGTGACAGCAATTCTTGCAGTCCTAATTGCTGTTGTAACTCCAGATATACAGATCATTAAGCAAGAAACAGAAGTCCAGGTGAGCAGGAGCACCGTAGGGGTGAGGGAAGCTAGCTCTGGGATACTGCAGTACGGTCAAGCTCCGGGAGGCTGGGGAAAGAAGGTGTTGAATCCTTGCCTGTGATCCAGAGCAGGAAGACTGGAAAAAGATTATGCTGCTGCTCATGGGTTTCTTGGCACTCTGCAGCTCTCAAACTCTAAGAAGAGTCCCTGAACTGCAGCATAATATGATGTCTAGCCCTAGCCAGATCCAGCATGTGGCCAAAGGGGCTTCCTGTCACTCTGGGAAGTGCGCCGCTTCCAGTCCAGACCAAGCTGCCTTTACCACCTTGTACTCCAAGGGCCCTACTGCACTCCACTGTCCCAACTGATCTTTGCCATTTCTTGCTTTCGCTGCTGATGAGGTGTGCCTGGCTTGACCCTTTATGAAGCAGCTTTTGGCCACATAAGGCCGTCTTCCCTGGTCTTGCAAGGAAACTACTGTGCATGACCTTGGGAAGAAAGCCTTCTGCAAAAGGCTAGGCCAGGCATGCCTCATTAGCAGCTGCACAGCAAGAAGGCAGCAAAGGGCAGCTAGGGTTGTAAGGCTTTGAAGTGCAGGTATAGATGGGAAGTAGGCAGGTGGGGATAGTTAAACAGCCTCACTGATAAGCAACCAATTTGATCCCATAACCGTAGGCTTGCTGCAGCAGCCATAACTTTGGAGACTAGTCATAAGTCCTAGTTCAACACCATCATAAGTTTGAAGAATCATCGAATGAATGGTCAGATCAAAGACTATCTGTCGAAAGAGAATTCCAGGGCTTTTCAGTATGGAGAGGGAGAGTGAGGCAGAGAGAGAGAGACAGACAGACAGACAGACAGACCTTTTAGTTACCCGTAATCGAGCCATCATAGTCCTTTCAAAGAGAAGAAGACATTACTTTGACTTTATCCTGAAATAGATTGGAGTCAGCACAACACAGAAGGAATATATGTTTTGCCTGGATACTTTTTATAGAATCTTGCATTATAATCCTGACAATCAATATTTTGTCTGTGTGGGCTTTTTTTCTCTCTTCAGTCATGTTGGTGGAAACAAATTGAACTGGGAAAAAATAGGAACTCAGTCAGAAAATCAAGTATGTGGGGATCCAGGAGACCAAACAAAGGTAACTTTTTTGAGCACTATAGTTTTTGTTAATGAGACTTGAGCTGCAATATTAAATTTGTGTATGTATTTTAGTGATTATTTGGTTGATAGTAGAGGACCTGGAATCACCAAGAAGATGCATTCATCATTTTTCCTGGATGACACAGTGAAGCAATGTTTTTGCTTCCTTCTGTGCAAGAAAAAATAATCTTCTCTGACTGCTATTTGACTAATAGTGCAGAGCAGAAGAAAAGTAGTCTCTAGTCTACACAAATGCTTAGAAGTCTGGGCGAGTTGTAACCTAAACTGCCAATGAAGTAGTTTTATTAATGTGATAGTTTAACTTCTATGCTTACTGGTATAGAACTTTAAACTCATTGAAATCTGTTGTATTTACTTCTGAGTAAAAATATGAATTATGTTGCCTGAGGTAAAGAAGAACGAGGTTGCATCTAAGTAATATACTTTGCTGTGCATAATAATGAATGTAATTTTAGCTGAGGTGAAGAATTGACTTGAGATTCTGATACATATTTATTCTTTACGGCACCAGACAAATAACTGCAGTATGTAATTAGGTTTATTTTCCTTTTCCTGCTGAGAATAATGTTTATTGTGGTATGGGCACAAATGGAAAAACAAAGTACAATAAGTTCATTTAGAAACTAATAAACCAGTTTTCTTTGAAATTTGGCTTATCTAAGAATACTGGTTTATGAAATTGAGTCTTGTTAGGTGTCCCAATTTAGCTGTTCCTGCTAAAGAACATGATTAATACAAGTTTTTAAAATCAGTTTTTTACTGATAAGAAAATCACTTAGCCAAGATATCTTCTAAAAAACAAAAAAAGGAAGGCTTAGTCTATTATCCAAAAAGGTTGTGAGAACTTCACCATGATTCACATATAGAAATACTTAGTATAGGATGCATCATCACCACCCCTGGCAATTACACAGCCCTAAATCAGAGAGGAGACATCCTGCTTTAGTTTTTCTTTTTTCTCATACCTTTCTTCCCCCTCAAGTGTACTTTGTAATGCTTAGAATTGATACCTTTAAATCTAGTGTTGAAAAACATGCAGTGGTTTCCAGTTAGTTTCTATGCATAATGCAAAAACATGCATAAATGCAAAAAAAAAAAAAAAAAAAAAAAAAAAAAAAAAAAAAAAAAAAAAAAAAAAAAAAAAGCACTGACCTCACCTTACACAGTGGATCGTCAACGCTTTTAGCATTTGGTCTAACATCAAGATCTCTCCCCCATTGGCAGTGGAGCTGCCATCCCTACTTCTCTAATCCATAAATTGGTTCAGTCAGTAGAAAATGGATCACTTCTTAAAAATTAAAATAAAGAATGCAGAATAAAAACAATAGCACTTGATACACATCAATGGCAATTCAATTTTTATCAAAATATGAATTTTGATAAAATATTAAAATGTTAAAAGTTTGGGACCTTTATTTCAGATGCAGGATTCAAAACAAGCCATTTATAAAAAAAATCAAAAGGAATTCAAACTGTGTTTGAACTGTGTTTAAGATATATCATTCATGAATATTGTAGAATTATAGAAGAATGAAGTCATTATCAAGACACAGTCTCTTCATTGTCAGGTTCACCTCTTCTATACTATAAAATTGAATTGGATTGTTGGTTCTATTTTCTGTAAATGTGTTGTAAATGTGATTAAATATACATACAGCCTTCTGGCTCTTAAGATTTCACAGTATTTTGTCATTCTCGTAAAACTGTTTCCCTGGTTCAAAAATGACTTTATTGTATATTGTAGGTGGAAGGTTCCTCTACTGTTTCTTCAGGGAATCAGGCAGCTGAAGTTAAAGGGAACCAAACCAGTAGTTCACAAATCCCATGTCTGTTGTCAATGCCCACGAGGAACCATATGGATATTACCACTCCTCCATTACCTCCTGTAGCACCCGAAGTATTAAGAGTAGCAGAACACAGACACAAAAAAGGGTTAATGTATCCCTACATATTTCATGTCCTAACCAAGGTAAGATTTTCAGGCAAGACAAGAATTCCAAAGAGATTACTGTTATCTCTTGCTTTTAGTCTATATGTGGGAGAAAATTTGATTTAGTAAAATGAACAATATTTTTTGTTCACAGTTATTCACTTTACATTGTATTTTTTAAAAGAACTTGGGCTTCCTTTGACAGTGTACTTTACGAGATCAATCCTACTTCCAGCACCATGCCATTTGTCTTAATGGATGAATTTATGGAGGTTATTGTGAATAGCAAAATATCTTTAAGCAGTGACATTCCAAATTCTGAACAATGTACGAATGATTAAATAGGAGAACTACTTATTTCTCATCCTATTTTTCTCCAATCTTGTGGAATCATTGAGGATGATTCTTCTCACAATTTGACTCAAGGATGTGTATTGGGCAGCTCTTGAGAGGTCTGCTCTAATACAGGGAAAATAGTGGAGAAAGCTGATCAGATGTGAGTGAGATCTGACCTCCACATTTGCAATATCAAGTATCAATGGAAAAGCATTCAATATCAAATATGGAATGCTTTTCCATTGGAAAGGTCCAACTTTGCTTATATTTCCATGGATGAATTAGTTATGTGAACCTGAAAAAGTGGATTTCCTGTTTTGTCAATAATTCTTTTTGGAGTTGGGGAACCTTTACACTCATATATTTTGGTAACATATGCATTTCTAGTTGATATGCTCCAGGTTTTGTATGAATATAGGCTCTTTACACAGTTCATTATTACCCGAATGCATTTGAAATGCAGAACTTCCTTTAGGTGAAATTTAATTATTCCCTAATTGCTGACATTATTTTGATTTGATTCTTTGAATAATATATAGAACGTATTGGTACAAAGCAAATTTTATGTTAGATTGTTTTTAAGTCCTCATTTTTCACCTAGGACAAGTCTCAAAGCTGCCTCTTCAGTTTATCTAAAATGTGATAGTCTCTGGAATCACATTCCTGTTCAATGAGATCTACATTTTAATATACTTGAAAAGAGTGGCTTTATAGAATTAGATTTTAGCAACATAGCTATATTATAAACATTTATGTACAAACAAGACATAAAATTAGGTAAACTGAATTGGAAATTAAAAGGACAGTGGTGAATGAGGTTGGGGTATTAAAGTTATTTGTAAATACTAAAGAAACAAGGAACCAAATTTTGAACCTTGGGTTGTTCATAAAACAAAATATGTATTAAGGTTTTAAGTGCAATTTGTGTGTCATACAATTATTTACTGAAAGTTAAGTACATCTTTCAGCAGGAAAGATACCATGCCATAAATAAGATCCCTAAAAGCTGCTCATCATTTTGTTCATCTACAGGGTGAGATTAAAATTGCAGTTTCTATTGAAGATGAAGCAAACAAAGACCTCCCTCCTGCTGCTCTTCTTTATAGGCCAGTTCGTCAGTATGTTTATGGAGTCCTGTTTAGTTTGGCAGAAAACAGAAAAAAGACAGAGAGGCTGGCTTTTAGAAAGAACAGATTTCCTCCTGAATGTATGTATTTGTCTTTTATTGTAATGGTGAATTCACTTGAAAACATCACTAATCTGTTGTGTGCTTCTGTTATGATGTAAAATAAATTGTGATTTCAATTTGCAAATATAAAAAAACTATAATTTGCCAACATAGTTCATTTTCTAGTTGCTCAATATTTCTGTATCTATAGTACAAGAAATTGGGGATATGAAGCAATGTTTAAATAGCAGATAGCACATCAAGGTTTGGAAGGTTAAAATCAGCATTTTGAATCATGCTCTGGACAAACTAGAAGCACTACAATATTTTTTTAATTAATAAGATACAGTAAACAACTCACACCCAATAAACTGGGCCCTGTATCCTGGTTTGGTTGCAATTGCTGAAAATTCATCAGGAGTATGGACAATTTTGCATAGGCTGTCTATATAGCCAGGAAGAGATAGCATTTAAAATTATGTATTTTTCTAAATGGTTCAAATTGGAATAATGAAAGTTACATTTCAGTAGTATCAAGTAGGCACGCCATATTAGTCTATACATTCTTGCCATATCGCAAAAATTAGTTCGAAACATCTGAAGAGACATACATATAACTTAAATTGTTGTGGGGGAGCATAAAACTACTTTTTCTTCAAATAGTTTATATCGTGCTTATAAAATACATGATTCATTTCTTTTTCATGAGCTGCCAGAACCAGGGTGGCATACAAGTTTAATAGTTACATTATTTCCAATTAGTTTTTAGTCAGTGATGCAAGGGAACTTGCTGATATTTTCAAAAGAATGCAATATCATGTTTTAGGTACAATTCTCTTTATTTTCATTTAAGCTACATTTGAACAAGTCAACATATTTCAGTCTCTTAAGCTCCAAATGTAGCTAAAATAATACATGAATTTTGCATAGCCTGAAATAATCTTTTGTTTCTTATATGGCATTTTTTAAAAAAAACATTATAAAGCCTTGACAGCTACATTCTAGTCTTATTGTGACTGTAATTTGAATTGGTACACAAATAACAGTTATATCATTTACAAAGTTGCACCATACTTGGCTATAAAGAAATATACATAATTTCATTTCTGTATTTGATAAATTCAGTGACTTAGGAATCATAGAACAGTCCAATCTAGAGAATTGCTTTGCTTTGTTGAATGTCTTGTATGATGCTATGTTCCAATTTATAAATTTAAACCAGTATTATTTTCACTTTTAACTGGAATGAAGATCTTTGATTGTATAAAGTGTGCATAGTCACGATTTGATATAATTTACTAGATTTGTCCTTATTTGTTCCTAAAATAAATGTAATTGTTCTGATAAAATTTCTGATAATATTCCAGTTATATACCATCACCATGTTAAATAGGAACAAACCACTTCATTGTATAATGGGAGAGTGATAGAATTAAGCTACTCTTTGGGAAAAGATAAAGAGTTATTAATGGCAGGAATGGGGATTAACACAGAGGTCTATCCATCTAGATTTATTTTAAGCACATCTGGCAAAATCATATTTTTAGCTGGACTTTTGCCACTTTTCAAATGAGAATTTTAGGGTTTTTGTTTGTTTGTTCTAATTTCTAGTTGTGAGACCAGGGGTCAGTCCAGGTTAAGAAGCAGATGAAGGGGTACCAAGAGAATCAGTATCAAAAGGAGCAGTGAATAGGTTGCCAAAATATTTTATCCAGGACTCAGAAGAGATTAAACCATTAAAGCACAGGAGCTACATTTATCTGAAGAGAGAGAAACAAGATGCCAGAATAGATGATCACTCTTATTTATGACACTCATTTGCTCTTCCTCTTGGACATTTTCTGTAACATTTTTTTAGTAAAAGAAAAAAAATTCATGAGAAAGTAGATTATAGAACTTTGGCATTTTTATAAGCTGCAGTTACCATAGCTTTGGCTTGAACACAATCCTGATCAAATCAAGCTTTGAACTTATCAGAGCAATAATGGTTGGAGTTTAATTAGATTTTAAATGGTCCCGAACTAAAAGAGTAATTTTTTGAAGGGTGACAAAAATTTCATGAATATCACTGGTTGTGCCAGTAATCACTCTTCTGAAAAGAAGAAATAGACAGAAAGGCTATGCATCTTTCTTTCATTAAACTATGCTCCTTTCCAGAAGTATACAATAAATACAGGTGAAAAAGCACCTTTGGGACAACCATGACTTGGATGAATGAGAATCCCCATAGACACTAGAATCTAAACGCTTGAATCTGATTTTAGTTGGAGCTAATACATAGCATTTATTTATTTATTTATTTATTTNGAAGGGAGATCAGGGATAACCCTGATCTCTGGGGGCAGTTCATTCCAGAGGGTGGGAGCTCCCACAGAGAAGGCCCTCCCCCTTGGGGTCGCCAGCCGGCACTGTCTGGCTGACGGCACCCTGAGGAGACCCACTCTATGGGAGCGTACCGGTCGATGGGAGGTACTCTGCGGCAGGAGGCGGTCTCGAAGGTATCCGGTCTCGAAGGTATCCGGTTCTCAGGAGTAAGGGCTCCAAGTGAGTAGTGGTGAGTCAGAAACTGATTTAATCAGTTTATGGGATGACTTTGCCATAAAGACAGAGAAAGGAAAAGAAGTAGATGAATACATCAAGTGGAGTTCAGGTTCAGTGTAAGAAAGCAAATATTTTGAGGTTGATTCGTAGTAATAAGTCTAAATGTTATAAATGCAAATAAAATATACTGACAAAAGGTATTGGCAAAACAGTATTTGTGCACAAACTATTTTGTTTCCTTTTTTAAAAAAAAATTCTGCAGTCTTACCGGTGATAATTAAGGAATGGGCTGCTTACAAAGGAAAGTCTCCCCAGACTCCCGAGTTAGTAGAAGCTCTTGCATTTAGGGAATGGACTTGCCCCAATTTGAAGAAGCTTTGGTTGGGGAAAGCAGTAGAGGACAAGAATCGACGAATGAGGGCATTCCTGGCCTGTATGAGGTCAGACACACCAGCAATGCTAAATCCAACTAATGTGCCCACTCACCTAATGGTGCTCTGTTGTGTATTAAGGTGAGTACATTGTTGATTAATGTTAACGTATGGTAAAACGTCCCCTTGATAATGCTGTATATATGTAATTGGGTAAGAATGTTATTGTTTTATTGATAGAACTTTTCATGTAACTTAGACATTTTTCCCTAGACTAAACACAAAGCAAACTAAGACTCAAAAGTTTGTTATTCGGTTTACTTTACAAAACTGTTGAGAGAATTATATGGAAAGACCTGTTGGGGTGGAGAAGGCAACAAAGCATTGTTTCTTTTTTTAGGGACAATGGAATAAACAGATTAGTTAAAAGAGAATAATTTTAGGGATGTAATCTGTTCGACTATGGGGGTATAGGTTGAAAATAGATCAAGTGAATAAAATAGAGGACAGCCAGGATGGTTTCATTCTAGCATTGAAAAGTATGTGCTTACTTTAGTTCCAGACTGTTCTAAGCCTCTTCTGCCATAATTTTAGTTAGATTAATTAATTTAAATATTCACTGGCTTTTTTTAATTATCACAGGAAGGGTACGTAGGATCCAGAATGTAAAAAAACAAAAATTCTAAACCTTTATTAAATACATCCTATAGAAGTACTTTCTATCAAAATAACATACTTAAGTTTCAGCTTTGTAAAATCATGAGTCGAATTCGGGACACATCTCACAAAAATTGCAGGCCTTCTTTCCATTTCATAGAAAGAAAGAAAAGAAGCTGTCCATTATTCCTCCCTGGTACCACTTCATTGTTCTAGATCAGGCAGGTCAAACTGCCGGCCCACGGGCCGGATGCGTTACAACGAAACCGCACCCACCCCATTGCCGGCAATGGGGGAAAAGTTGCGATACGTCTCGCGATGTCACATGACGTTGCGGGTTTGGCATGCCTGTTCTAGATTATGCTATGGGCTCTGGAGCAGTTTTTGACTTTTCTGCCTCTTGCTCCATAGGCTAAATTTTCCACTTCAATAGTTTGGGTTCAGTTTGGATGTAATTATAGTGCTTTAATAAATGCTATACCTTATTTAAACATTATCGTATACAAACATCAGACATCTTACAACTTTTCAGAAATGATTTACCCAAGGTACTTTGTCTTTGTAGATATATGGTGCAGTGGCATGGAGTTCGGATACTTCGTCGCCAAGAACTTGATGCCTTCTTGGCTCAAGCTTTATCTCCAAAACTCTATGAACCTGACCAACTGCAGGAACTAAAGGTGACTTCTGAAGTTGGCCTTTGTGGAGCATTTAATTCTTATTAATTCAAGCGCTTTGCAAAACAGTATCATTTTCTTTTGTCAGTATTTTCTATTTTCATCCACACGTTCATCAAAATAGTATGTGGACAGGAAGAGTTTCTGCCTTCAACACCAGCAGAGTAATAACTTGCAGATAATAAAATCTGCTTCAATTTTCAAAGGAAATGTGCTGGTTTTTTTGCTTTTCTTTACCTGATTACTGTATTCATTTTTGTTTTATATCGATGGCTTTCAGACGTCTAACCTTTAAATCATCACTTTCATTTTATTTTATCTTTTCCTGAAGAATACCTGCATGTCTCCACAAGATTCCACCTCCACCTATGTACTCCTAAATAAATAATATCGGAGAAATTGTTACTTAGGTATATTGATCATGACTACCAGTAGACTATACAGTAATGGGATGGGTAGAATTAAATCCTATTACCAGTTTTCATTTTCATTTGAATTTTTCTATTTAAAGTAATTACATTAATATTATTAAAATGATAATTTACTACCACATTTTAAAATTCATTCATGGCCTTGCTCAAATAGATTAAGCATCCATTTTCAGTAAAATATTAATAGATGGATGCACGGTAGATACTGAGAGCTCTTGTTGTATTTAAGAACAGTTGTTTAATTAGCAGATCACCTAAGTATTAATGATATCTCCAAGACATTATTTTTCAAAATTCATAGAAAAACACTATTTACCCATTTTTGATTTAGATGTATTCATGTGGCTTGCTTTAAAGTCCCCAAATACTTTGTAATGAAAATTAAATAACAAGTTAATTTTTAATTTGTCCCCGTACTTTGTCAATAACCAGATACAATTCCTTAATGGAAATGACATTCATAATTAAAATGTTTAAATAAATATGTGATAGGCTGAAGGATCTGTACAGGGGTATGTGTACACCTTTTATTTTAAAAAATCTGAATTTCAAGTAAAAGTTTGAAGTACAAGTATTTGGCACTTTCAGCTGAAAATGTCTGCATTTCCTCCACTGAAATAGGGCAGCAGAGAGGAGAGAATTCCACCCTGGACTTCATCCAGTTTTTGGTGGGTTTATTTAAATCAGTATTTTTCAGTCAGTTTCTTAAAAAAGTTATTTGAATTGGCCCCTTTTATCAAGGAACCCAAATACGGTTATACCCATGTTGTAGAAACCATTGATATCATTTTCCATTCCCAAGGTTATTTTGGAAAAGTCTCATATAAGACATAATTAATGTATAATCTCAGAAGATTCTCAAATTTAGAAAATAGTAACATTCAAATCATTCAGCAGAAAGAGTTTGTGATATTTTTTTTTTTTTTTGGTTAAACTGAACTTTTTGATGAAGATTTTGTCCCATTTATATAGGTAATTTTTGTTTTTGCTTGTCTTGCTTCTTTCTGTAGAACTTCCCTTTCCTCCCCTTCCCCACTTTTCTGTCTTTTTCTCAGCAACCGCTCACTGCTTTCCTGCTAACAACTTGTACTTCCTTAGGGAGGCCTACCTCACACCATGGCTCTATCGTCTGATATAGGCTAGCGTTGAAGACAGGATGCTGGGCTAAATTGATCATTGGCCAGACCCAGTAAGGCAGTATTTGTATTCTGAATGTAAATTACCCCAGTTAAATCAGTATGAGCTTAGAATTACAGGTGAGTGACTTGGAAAAGAATCATACTGGATGACAGTAAATCTCAAATTTTGTCCAACAATAAAAGGCTGAATTCATCTTGTTGACGTACTTTCATTTTCAAAATTCAAGCATGTAGAATAATTATGTATACACAGTCTATTTTATTAGCAAGTTAGGTTTGACAGAAGTAAAATACATTTTTCGGTCAATAGTAATGCATGCTATATAATATTTATGGCATGCTATGCACATCATGTAGGACTTCATTTTCATAATGCTACTGTATTTATTGCAGTTATGACACTGTCACCATAAGTTTGTTTGTATAGGACACATTGGAAGTACCTTGAAAATCTGATCTAACTTCTCTTGTTTGGTAAACCCATCCCTGACATACATTAATCTACATTTAAGAATTTGAATGTTCTGGCCTAATCAGTTGTTCCCATCAAATGTATTAGACTTCAACTACTTGTATTTCCTAGATAGCTTGATCAGTGCCTATGCTGGTTAGGATGTGTGGATGTTGAAGTCTAAAACTTTTTGATAGCATCTAGTTACTGTCCAGTTTCAAAACATAGGCTGATATTGATGGATTGTTGTACCAGTGTAAATGGAATTAACATTTGACAGGTGAAATCCAACTATACACCTACGATAATGGAAGAGTCTTTGGGCTGTTGGAAACCTTTGCTAATGGAAGGTGAAAGGAACTGATTGTACCATCTCCTGATTCCCAAAGCTACTTCTCATTCTGTACAAATCCTTCAGTGTGTGTTTGCAGAGCTACAGCAAGGCAAAGAACAGACAAAATATTTCCTTCTCTCTTTCCAAGAGGAAAACTTGATAATACAATTGTTGATTCAGTTCTGTAAACTATATCAGAGATAGTTATGGTACTCCACACTACCAATATTTATGGATATCTTCCTATCTTTAATTTTTAAAGGATTCCTTTCATTTTAAAGAAATGACAGCTCCAGCATTAGCTTCATTTTTCTTAGGATCATGTCTCTGTCCTCCGTGCAATCGCCACAGACATTCTTAAAAAACAAAAATGGCAGGTAAATGTAGCTCTATGCTAAATTTAGATGTCTATCTCCTTGCTACTCAAAGCTAAAGAGATTTTGCAGACGATACTATTTGACAAAGATTTTTGTTTGTTTGTGATTAGGTAAACCCTCCTATAGTAGCAGCCATTTTATAATTAGGCAAATCTTCACCCTTGGCACCCATTTTATAAATAAGAAAATCTCTACTCATGGCAGCCAGTTTTTGAGAATACATGCAGCAAAGTTTTAAGAATCAAACATTCCCTGAACAACCTGAAAAACGTTCTTACCCCTGCAATAGACTATTTGAATTCTTTCACATATAAAATAGTTCTAAGCTATTTTTCTCTTATCTAGAAAATCCAGTCATATCTTGGGCTTCCTGAGGAGTCTGAACAGTGGGTCATCCATCAGTTGTACTAAGTGACAGCTCCTCTGGTTTTTAACTGAGGAAAGGAGAGAAATAATTGGGTTTGGCTAGAAAGCTACCCCAATTTTCTTTTATAATAACAGTCTTGCTCCATAGGCTTAATAAAAAAATGTGAAGACATGCATTATGTTTATTAATGTTGCTAAATATTGTACTTAAGATGACAAAAAGGGATATGCCTAAACCTTTACTTCAGATATTTGCTATTATGTTAGTAGGGGTAGTGATTTGCATCATTAATTTCCATAATGTGTCTGTACAAGCTTTTTCTACAATGAAATCAATTTATTTTTTTCTTGCCTACTAAGGCATTCTTGAATTTTTCCCTGCCTATGGGATATTTTCTTCTTCAGCTTTATCACGGTAGCAGTGCTATAGCTAAACTAATCACACAACTGTTCAGGACTGTCAGTAATTGGGACAAATTTTATTCTTTTGAAAGAAGCAATAGACATGCTATATTCTAATAACTAAAGCAAACATGGGTGACTTTTCAGTATCTACAGACAGCAGGTATTGGGGAGAATCAGTGCTGCAGAGAACAACATTGCAGATATGAACGGAAATTGTGGGGATTTTTGAACTCTTAATTTTGCCTATTTTATGCAATTTAGGCTTGTTTTTTAGTTGTCATGTATTGAGGCATTAATTTCCAGCTGTGATGGTTAAAGTGGGTTTCGGTGGGTACAAAAAGAGAGTTTGGAAGCCTCATGCAGTCCCGGTACTGCAGTCTGTCTATCTTTAAATAACTTAGGGCTCCTTCTCTGGTAGGGGAGGGACAATCATCTCTTCTTAAAGTCAGTCTTGTGCAGGATTGGCAGAAAGAGACAGACATCCTAATAACATGGATTGCTATTTTAGATGTGCAAATGTCTCTTTTGTAATGGGCTAGTGATGGAAGAAAGTTGGAGGCACTGTTAAATCAGGTATGACTCCACAGACACATCCATGCATTTCTTTTGGCAATATTGAAATGCCATGATGTCTTCCATAATAGTTTTTCCCAGTATACCTTATAGCTCTGGTGTAGTTTTCCTACTGATTCTCTATCTAGGTACTAACCAATTTGATTCTGCTTAGCTTTGGGTGAGGGGTGGAATTGAGCCTTAGTTGGCTAAATATTGTGAGTATTAATACCCAATTTCCAAATTCATGTGCGCTCACAGATTTCTGTGGTATTTCTCACTAATATACAGAGAATAGCTAAGCAAACTATAGGATTTATGAGCTGTTTCACAGAATTTTAAACAAAACTAACTGCTTAACTGCAGTGACTGCAAAAATTCATGCCTGTATCTTTTTAAAGGTATTATTTAAATCTATTTTAACACTTTGTCTATAGTTTAATTCTTTAATCTTCAGTCCTTGTATAGACTTTAACCAATAAAGTTCTACACTTTTGTTTTTAAGATTGAAAACCTAGATCCTCGAGGAATTCAGCTCTCAGCATTGTTCATGAGTGGTGTTGACATGGCATTGTTTGCCAATGATGCTTGTGGGCAGCCAATTCCATGGGAGCATTGTTGTCCATGGATGTACTTTGATGGGAAGTTGTTCCAGACCAAGCTCATCAAAGCAAGCCGGGAGAAAGCTCCCCTCATTGACCTCTGTGATGGTCAGGTAATGTTGGTCCTGTGATGGGTGTGATGTCTAATTGAATATGTATGTGTATGGACAAATAGGTAGTCAGTAGAAGACCAGTGTGTTTGTTTTTGGTAATGAGCTCAAATTCATTTGTAGGCAGAGGATTTTAGCCCAAGGGCAAATGTATAATTAACCATATAATGAAATGTATTATTTATATGATAGGTTGTATCATGCTAAAAGTTTGCTTGAATATAGATTGCTATAAGTAGGTCTGTATGCAAGTAAAAGAGGTTAATCCTTGATTTTTTCATATCCTTAAAATGGTGATTTGAGTTGATTTGGAAGAGTATTTTTTAAAATTTACTTCCATTTAAATGGCCACCCCTCTCAAATTCATGAATCTGTGTGGCTAACAATTGTTAATTTGTAGCAATTTGGTATATGGTATGAGCATATGTAGGTGATCTGTGAAACATACAAATTTTGTATTTGCTTACTTTTTACCACATAAGTGATCCAGATTCTGCTCTTTCTTTTCTGTTAACATGGATGCAGTGTTTCTTTTTTTAAAAAAAAAAGTTTTCAAATAGGTGGAGATGGTATGTTTCACATCCAGGAGACCCTTTCTTTCTTTGACATTCCTGTATAACTAAAATTCAAATAATCCAAATTTTGTGTATACTATTTTGAAATATTTTTAAAGCTTGCAAATCAGTCTGGGTATTCTGACAAACTTTATAAACTTTATAAATAACGAACAGAAGGATATATTGTTTTAAATATTTTGTTAAGAAAATAAAACATTATATGAGAAATAATTTTACGTTACAGGGAGATAATTCATTGATGTCTTGATTTTCTGTCCCCTAATGTTTAATGTTTGTAAATATCATCAGTTACCTGGCTAGCTGCTTTCAATAATGTCATTTAGAAATGTGTGGATATACTTGATTTGTATTCATAATATAACTATGTTGTGCCGTGTTGTTTGTCGTAGGCTGAACAAGCTGCCAAGGTAGAAAAGATGCGCCAGAGCATCCTTGAAGGTTTAAATTTCTCCAGGCAAAACCACCCACTCCCTTTCCCACCACCACCTGCCATGCCTTTCTATCCAGCTTCTGTTTATCCTCGGCACTTTGGGCCAATTCCACCTCAGGGCAGAGGCCGAGGCTTCACTGGTAAGACTGCTTCTCTGCTAGGACCTTTGTGTAGGAAGCATGTATTGGATAAGATTTTGGACTATACTAGGGAGACCCAGGTTCACATCTCAGACCAACCTACCTCATAGTTTTGATGTGAAAATGGAGGAGGAAATTCTACGTTTATCACCTACAGCTCCTAGTGGAATAGTGGAATATCAGCCAAGCAGATCAATAAAGATTAAGACAATTGAACTGGCAAAAATAGTTAATCGGTTGAAATTTACCCTGATAGCTGTTTATAGAAAAAGAGATGGAAGTCTAGATAATAGCCAAATTTAAATATGTAATTTAACTACACATTTAATTCTGTATATAATTGCATAATTACACATAAACAACATTTACACACCGTTGAAAGAGATGATAAAAAGCTAAAAAGGAAATAAAAGGACCTGAACATATCTCCAGCAATCAGCAACCAGGTAAGCAGGGATTAATACCAGACAAACAATCAAGCAGTAAAAAGCAGCCCAACCAAGGAACTACTGAGGAGAAAATAACATTCCCCACCAACACTGAGAGAGGGCAAGCCACTATAAACAGCAAATCCCTTCTAGCACTGAAGAAATTACCAAGTTGTGTAATTGAAACATCTGCAGAAAAACAACCAAGCTTACAGTAGAGAGCACTAAGGACTCCATATGTAGTTTAATAATGCTTTAAGTTTTAAAAGATAAATTGTCAATCTCTTCATTTAAGAGAAAGCATTTTAAAAAAATACTTTCAGATTTTAATCAGTCCTTATACAGTATATAACATCTGCATTTACTGTATCAGAAATTGACAACCCAAAAGAGATTGATTGGTTGATTGATTAATTGATTGATTGGATTGATTAGATTTAGGTGCCATCTGGCTCCAAAATGGGTCTGGGCAGCTCACAATTTTTAAAACTAGCAGTATTTTAAAAATGCATAATACAAAATATAATAGAATGTATTGAATATAAACAAACAATACAGATCTGTCCAAACAATGCTATACAGAGAAAGACACACATGTTTAACAGGAAAGTGATATCAGTTACTCATGCCCTGGTCATCTCTCTCATGGATTATTGCAAGCATTATACATGGAGCTACCTTCGAAAAGAATCTGGAAGCTTCAATTAGTGCAAAATGTGGCTACGCAGGCAATCTTGGGTGCCCAAAGAATGATGCATGTAACATCTCTGTTGCGCAAACTGCGTTGGGTGCTGGTCTCTTATCTGGTCCAATTCAAGGGGTTGGTTATGACCTATAAAGCCCTATATGGCATGGGGCCAGGTTACCCTTGGAGCCATTTTTGTGCCATTACATCAGCCCTCCCGATCCCGTCGGGCAAGGAAGGTATGTTGCAGTTCCCATCAGCCAGGTAGTCCTCGACATATGACTGTAATAAAGTCTTTCCATTACGGTCATACATCATAATGATCATAAATCAACTGCTGTTGTCATTAAGCAAACACTGCAGTTGTTAAGCAAACAAATAGTTTGTTATGGACGCTATAAATGTGGCCGTGTTGCTAACTGCCCAAAATTCAGTTACATGACTGTGGAGGGGGCCCGACCATCAGAACTTTGAATCTGGGTTGTAAGTCCCCTTTTTGGTCGTACCTTTGAATGGTCACTAAGTCGAGGACTGCCTGTTAAATCCCAAAGCACATTAAGAAACAGATCTTTTGCTTCTCATAGATCTGCAAAAGATTGGATTTTTTTTTATTCGTGGTAAAAAAAACAAAAAAAAACAACTTGGACCTAGAATTTTACCCATTGGTGTCCTGAATCTTCAATAGTCTGGGAATTAATCCTTACAGAGGGTCTTTCATTTTCACAGGATTCTATGGCTTTGGGGGCCCTTATGGGGAACCGGTTGCAGCAGGCGCATATCGGACCTTCCGAGTGACTGCCACAGGAGGACACTCCGGAGCTTTCTCTGGCAGCGATGGCAACAGGACTAGCAAGTTTCAGGGCGGTAATACCACCAATCCCCTTTTCTTATTGCTCACAGCAGCAGTGCAGTAACTGGACCTTTCCAACATTCATTGTATGAGTTTGTCTTCCTAAAATAAAGCAAATACTTCAAAGAAAGAGTTCTCCCACTTTCTTCAGTGTACGTTTGTGAAAAGGTAGAATAGGAAATTCCTACATTTTAATTAACTTTTCACAGATTGTGATGTGGTTTCTAAATCAAAGATCCATTTAATGTCACTTAAAGTTAAGGCTGTTTTCAAACTGCTGGTGATTATAGCCATGCAGTTTTCTTGGTAGAGTAGAAGTGATTTGCCACCATCTTTTGCTGAGGTGCTTTGAAAATTCCTTGGTAATTTCTCATTCATGAACTAACTAGCCTAACCTTGCTTAGCTTTTGAAATCAAGTTGGCTAGATGCTGCATTTGCTATTTATTGCTTAGTAGCCTAATGTACAGGTAGTGTGTTATTACCCAATAATAAAATACAAAAAAAGAATGAAATTCTCTTGACTATATCAACCTTGCATTCATTAGTAACATTACATTTACATTATTTCTGATTCTAACTACTTTTAACCTTTTTGCCGTTAGCTCAATTAGTGATGTATAGCTAATGTTCCTTAGATCATTGGAAATGCTTGTTTGAAACTAAAGTAGCAAATTGTAGTAATAAATACAAACGCTCAAATTTAAAATTAGATGCATTTTGAAAGAAAAGCTTTCTGAAGGTTTTAGAATGCATTTATAGCTTGTTTCAGTGTTTTTAATATTAGTTAATTCCGCTTTCCTTTTTGGTAAATATTAAACATTTGAGATTCTCACAGCACCTTTTTTTCTCTCAAGTTATTCAATTGAAATGACTGGATTAAAAATCCAAATATTTCCTTTGAAATATTAAGTCTATCCTGGCTAGTTTACATGTTAGCAGCCCCTAGTTATTCACTTACATGCCAGCAAATCCCAAACTACTCTTTTATTGACAACATGATGGGGGTTGTGGAAGCAAAGTTTCTGTTGGACAGGAACGTTATGTGTCCAGAACAGGTCCCTTAGAACTAGTTTACCCAAGTGTGATTTCAGAATGATAAATTTACATTGTACCACATTCATTTCACAACAATGAATGAATTGGATTTTGTTTGTGCTTGCTGTCCCGCTGATCTCAGTAGCCTTAAATCCTACTTTGACACAAAGGCTATGCAGGTATGTGCCAGGATTCACTCTTAACAAAGAAAGAGAAATTTTTCAGAGATAATAACCTTCCTTCATTTAAATTTCCATTGCAGAGTAACACCTTTTTAAATCTTGCTTTAGGTGTCCAACCCATTCCTTCTCAGGGAGGGAAACTTGAAATAGCTGGCACTGTGGTGGGCCACTGGGCTGGAAGCAGGCGTGGTCGAGGAGGAAGCAGGGGGCCATTTCCTCTGCAGGTGGTTTCTGTTGGAGGGCCAAGAGGGTAAGCAAATACCAGCATTGCAGTTATGTTTGGGTTAATTAAAAAAAGAGAAGTCTGCCGGATTTTTACTTGATTATGACACAGCAGTGGTGATTGTCTAGTTCAGAGTGTATTGGCTCAGCTGTTTATTTTTTTAGAATGTAAATGTAAAGACTAATTAATTTTATTTATCAAATACTGCCCATTGCATTTGTGTGTCTGGGCAGTTTGCAAGGTGTGTTGTTGATTGCTGTGAAAATACTATTGGTTTTATTTGTGAGCCTCCTTCATGGGACAATGACATAAATCTGTGAACCTTTTCTCAACATAGAAGGCCATATTGCTGATTGCGAATTTATTGGAAACTCTCATTTTTTGAATTAATTTTAAAAGTGTTGTTATATGCAAATATTTAAAGACAAAAGGCAATATAGTCTAGGGAGAACTTTAAAAATCGATATTTCATGCTAAGTAATGAGAAGAGACAAACTGATCTATATATTTATTGTGAATGTAGAACCCAATCCAGGTACATTCTAAAGCAGTGGTTCTCAACCTGTGGGTCGGGACCCCATTTGGGGTCGATCGACCATTTCATGGGGGTCACCAAGCAAGGCTGTCCGCCATTTTTTTTGTCCGCCATTTTTTTCCCCTTTTCCGGCGGGTGCCTTACCTCCCTTGGGCTGGGCCAGCTGGTGGTCGGCCTGCTCCATCTCTGCCGCTTGCCAGCTACACCTCGGCCAGCGCAGGGGGCGGAACCATGCATGCGCGGCACTCCCGGGCAGGGAAAGTCCTCGACTTATGACCGGTTGGGTAGTCCTTGACTTACGACTGGTTTAGTCCTCGACTTACGACCGGTTTAGTCCTCGACTTACGACCGGTTTAGTCCTCGACTTACGACTGGTTGGGGTCGCGGCATTAAAAAGGTTGAGAACCACTGTTCTAAAGGGTGCAGATTCTCAGTCCACATCCCTGTGAGCCAGGGCTGGCTTCTTGTCACATATCAAGTAGATCACATCAGCCCCTCCCTTATGGATATAAAAAATATGTATTTTTGGATAAATGAGCCCAGAAGCTGGGCAAAGAACATGGCATCCTATGTTTTTAGAACTTCTGATTAATGTTGTAATCTAGACAAATCCAAAAATTGAAACAGGACTATCTGCTTTAGGAGTCTTTCTGTTTCTATAGAAATAGATTAATATATGTGGCCAGGTTTTTTTTATAATTTCTAAAGAGTTTATCATGTTCAATATAATCCAACATGCGTATTTCAAGCTAGTTTCATGAAGATACTTTTTTATTTAGAATTATATTGTGATTCGTAATATTCTTCATCTGTAATAGACTATCATCACTTTGGGTTCTCTAGAAAACATTAATCATGACTGTTATGCTACATGGTTAGGAGGTGACATTGTTGTAACTTTTGGATTTTGACATTTTAATTGTAAGAAAGGCAGCACAGGGAGGGAGAGCTTTGTCGCTCGCAGAATACCAGGCTAGACATGGATATCAAGTATGGTACTCCCGAAAGATAGTGGTTGCCATCAAAAAAGCTACCGTACTACCTCAAATAAGATATACAGGAGATGGGGTTAGGGTATGAAGAGCCTCTGGGATTTGAGGTTGGTATATATTGCTTTTTGCCCTGCAATAGTCACATTACATTGGACTACTGCACATGGGACACCAAAAAGTACATAGGCTACTGGAATGTTTCTTGGTACAATTCCAGGTGCTGGAATTCACTTTCAAAGCCTTTCATGGCTTGGAGCCAGGAAACTTACAGGACCATCTCTGCCCAGTTGTTTCTCCTCATCCTGTCTGATCCAGTCGGGGGTGGGGGCATATACCCAATCCCTTCTGCTAAGGCATGTTGTATGGCACAGCTCAGGTGGAGAGCCTTTTCTACTGTTGCACCTGCCCTCTGGAATGCCATTCCTCCAGAGAGAGATTGTCCTGGCCCTACTGGCCTTCTGCAAGGCCTTGGAAACCCGGTTCTATTTCAAGCCTGGAGCCCTGAGTGGGTAACAGTCCCATTTCCTGGTTTTGTTGATTATATGAACTTTTAAAAAAAATAAATCTTGGCTGCTGTGTGTGTTTTAATGTGATATTTTGTATGTAGGTTTATTATTGTTCACTGGCCAGTTACATATTTGAGATGTGCAGCCATGTAAATCCAATAAATAACTAAAAGTATATTGTATTATAATTAGGAAATTAATGCTACAATAATTAGGAAATTATTAAGCCCTACTGCAGTTAGAAAAACATAGCAACACTAGGGTGAGATTGTAAAAATGGAGCGGCAGTTAAGAATCAATAAAGAAGTACAATTGAATCTATTCAGAGGAAGTTTCTTCAACTCTAATTTTACAGTTAAGGCTGCTCAAGAACATGTTCTAGCCATGAGCATAATTTTATTCCAGTATAAAATATATTGCCAATTATTATTCAATAAACATAAACTTTTCTCTTGCTAGGTTAATTAGCTGGTAAGTGGGAAATGCATAACGTAAGGAGAAGAAATATTGCAAAGATAGAATTCATTCTATTAAAATACTGTTTTAGTTGCTTTCTGAAAATAAGAAAAACAACTGCCTTTTTGGTTATGCACAGGAAATTGAATTCTGCTGTATCTCCAGAGAAATTTATGAAATTTAAATGTGTTTACCTTTTTTCTGGTTCTATAAAGACGTCCAAGAGGAATTATTTCCACACCAGTGATAAGAACATTTGGCCGAGGAGGAAGATACTATGGGAGAGCTTATAAGAACCAGGGAACTATTCAGGTAATGGAAACAAAATCAGGGATCAGCTCTTTTTGGTGTGTGTGTGTTAATGTTGCATCGGGATTGTGTTTTAGAAAATAGGTGCATTAAGCCAAACAGAGGGTTAAAAAATTCATTTTCCTTGTGGTTTTTGTTAAAGAATAAAAAAGCAGTGCCATATTGTTGAGTGAGATCAATGTCCTGCTTAGTATTCTATTTCCACAGAAAGCAGTTAGATAAAACAGCACATTCTCCACTATGTACAGTATAGTAATATAATGTGTAGTAATTGTTTAAAGAACTTTTTTTTATCAATAGTGATATTTTATTATCAGATATTAAGCCAGTTACTACCCAGATGATGTGGATTGCAAATAGCTAGCTAGCTAGCAAATGCCAGTTATTAACACTTTTTCCTAGACTGAAAAGTGCTCTTAGTATCACAGGCATCATATTCTGTGTAACAAAAATCCCAAGAAATGCTGAATTTCAGTAATTTTCCTAAGCTGGTAACTCTTTCAGTTATGTTTAACTAATTTCATTATTTCTGTTTTTATCATTATTTTATTTTTATGTTTAAAAAACAGGGCAAACCTCCTTATGCTGCTTCAGCAGAGGAAGTGGCCAAAGAACTTAAATCAAAATCAGAGGAAAGCAAGTCCTCTATTGTGTCTTCAGAAGGATCCCTGGCTGAAAATGGCATAATGAATGAGGAGAAACCAGCTTCCCATATGAATGGGAGTACAGCAGATGTCAGGGCTTCCAACCAGTCTGAAAGTGCCTTGAGTAATGACTCTAAAATGTGCAATACAAATCCTCACTTAAATGCACTAAATGCAGACAGTGTTTGCCGTAAAGACGATGCTCTTGAGGCTACTGTCTTAAAAAAAGAAGAGTAAACTTATTTTTTATAGAGGGTGAAGGATGTTGGAAGGGTCAGGATTAGGAATATCTGGAAAGAAAGAGAGCCTACAGTTACGTACATTTTTTCCTTTCCGTAAGAGAAAAATGAGGACTTGGAAATTCGGATCCCTCTTGGATGTCAGAGATTTAAAGAACACATTTTTAGTTTTAACCAGTTGTAGTCAAAATGCTACAATACAATAAAAATGGAAGAGAATGAAGAGCATTTGACTCCCGCACTAAAAATGATATATACACAAAGTTTTAACTGGTTATGACAAAAGCTTGTAGTTTTTGTTTCTTGAAATATATTAAAAAGGAAAAGAAAAACAAATTTTGGCAGTCTTTCAGTATATATAGCTTAAAATATAATTTTTAGTACTTGGCACCATATGTATGCCATTATATTTGATTTTGCATTACTGTGTCACAAAGCTTTCCTTAAGGCTTTGATTTCATGATTATGGGGGGGGAAAGGCACAACCACAGTTCTTTCTTTTCTTAAATTTCATCACCGTTGATGTGGTTTCTTTTTATGTTTAAAATGTGCAAACTATCAAAATAAAAAAAATTATAGAGTAATATTGGAGTTCTGCTGATTTTAAATATACATCATAATACTTTGCAAGCAAGTTAAAATGGATTTAACTTGAAAATCATAGAAAATGCAAATGACCTTTTCAAAAGAAACACAATGTGTTCTGATACTTTTTGTGACTAATACCATGCATCCGTGATCAATGAACTATGTGGTTTTTGAATCAGACGTAGACCATTAGTACTACTATTTGAGCTAAACTTCTGCATGGTTCATAATTTTAAAGTGTGTAGTTAATATTATGCATGTTCTTGTCCTCTTTCTTCCATTCTTACAAGTACTGTGCCCATTTGCAAAACAAAAAAGCTAATAATCAGTAATAGTCCTATAAAAGATGTTAACTATGTTTAGTCATTGACTGATCTTGCTCTAACCTTAAAATTTTGTGATTATTGACCTCTGTTGCATTTATTCTAAAACAAAAAAAAATTATCTAGCCGTTTTGAATATCAACGTTACCCTGGTGTACTCATTGCTGTATGCATTATTGTTCTCTGTTGCTGTTTTATGCCTTCATATTAGCAAATATGAAATTCTGTGGAAAAACACAAAAAAAGCTTTGATCTTCAAGAAATACCCCCCTTCTGTAGCAGGAAACAAATGGCTTGTTCTTGAGAACTTTCCCATCAAGAATTTAGTATAAGCAAATATACCTGTATCATTTTGATGTTTTTGTTAGTGTTTCCAAACTTAATGTACTTCAGAATCAGAATCATTTCTTTATATTCGTTTTCATATAATTCTCCTGATGCTCTTCATCACACATTAGTGATCAGAAATGAGGTGTAATTCCCCATTCCCTGCCCGCAAGAGCTAAGTAGGTATCTTAATGTAAGTTGAAGGGAGTTCTGCCCCAACTCATGGATTGTGCAAGAATGAACTACTGTTGGGTTTGATTGGTTGTAGATGGATTGTGGTGTGGTGTATTTGAAGGCTATTGAATGCAACTTACAATGCTTAATAAAAATCTTTATTCTTTTAGTATAACCTTGTTGTATGGTGTCTTATGTTTCCCAATAATTTTCTTCTTCTTTTTGTCTTTTCCACACAAATTTGAAGTCTTCGACCATCAGCAATTTTAGTAGTTGATGATGAATTCTAGAAATAAAGATAGTAATGACAACAAGGTAGGGCCACGTTGAGCAGATGTTAATTTTTTTCAGCTTCCAAGATGTCAGTTGCAACTGATGGGCACTTGTGTTGAGAGCAACCATGGTGGATGGTCCTTAATACACCACCACTGTGGTGTTTTATGTAAATAATAAAATTTCCTTAAAAATAATCATCTTTTATTTTGCCATCCCTCAAAGCAAAAATTGGAGTTGCAATTTTGCAAAATTCTTGATTACCCTGGAATATAAAAATGAATTCCACATTATTTCCCCATTATTAGAATTCATAACCCTGAGAAATCTAATGAATAATAAACCTTGCTATTTTGAATTCCATAATGTCATTAAAGCATCTTACTGGCAGCAACCAGTGATTTTGAGAGGACATATAACACATAATGGCACAACTTGCTATGGAACCCAAGCTAAGTGAACATTCAATTTCTGATTTTATTTCAGACAACAGCCTCAGTGCTCTTATATTTAATTCAATAGCAAAGCTATGGCATTCTCAACATAAACTAGGAAAGGGTTTCTTCACGCATATCTGAAGTGCAACTTTCCTAATGACTGGCTTTCAATGAAACAATCTGCAAACCTTTTAGATATGGAAGGTTGCCTCCTAGTTCTGTAGTTTCCCATCTTGTGTGAAGCTCATTTTGGGGGGGGGGGATAACATCTTAAATGTGCATGGGATTGGGACAGGAAATGAATTTTGCAGCAGCAGCTGTCATTTTCAAAGTGATGTGTTCAACTTGGAGATACCAGCAGTTTTATGTTAACTAGTGCCTGGTGTAGTGAGAATCTCATCTTTATTGTCAAAAGAAGAAAGCTGTTTCTTGAGCCGGATAAATGATTGGAATTAGGCTGTGCTTTCTGCCAGTTTTCTACTTTTTTGAGGCTGATAGGAAAAAAAAAACAGGACAGAATCAGAATAGATTTGTAATACAGCGCATTTCTGTTTCCTAGCTATCACTAGAAAAAAATCAGGAAGGGAAAGGCTGCTAATGATAGTGGAGCATCCATTCCCATGGTCTTCCATATATTGGTTCTGATTCTCAGTTGTGTATTTTTCCCCATCCTCTACACCTGCTCTTTTGCATTGTCCCCAAATTGTTACTATTAGTGTGTATGCATTCAGTTAAAACATTAATAGCTATTTTGTACTGACTGTGCCAAACTGCTTGTTTTTAGAGCAGTCATACTATTTTAGTCCCTTGCCTCAAATTTCACTGAAGCAAATCACCAACCATCTGGTGCAGATTTGTGGGATGGCACTGTAAGGTGAAGGAGAAGTCCATTCCTCTTGTTTCTACCACTCTGGTTGTGGACGAGTAACACTACACACTGCATAATGAATTAATAACAACCTGCTTACAAATACTCTAGAGCAGATAGATTCATTACAATAATAGAACAAGAAATCCTAAAGTTTACTTAGATCCTCCAATCAAGTGCTCAATAAAGTGTTATCAGGTAGATATCCAAATTTTCACTTGAACATAGCCAGTGGACCCAACCTTTCACCTCTTGGCTAATTTTATTGTGGAATTATTACTACATTAACTTGGCATCTGGTCTCCTGTAACTGAAAATAACTCGGTCATTCAGGTCCTAGTCATCTCATGGTTAGATTGTTGTAATGTACACTATCCCTGAAGAGCATTGGGAAGCTACAGCTGGTGCAGACTGTGGCAGCACAGGCAGTTCTTGGGGCCCAAAGAATGACTCAAACTGTAATACCACTGCTCCATGAGCTGCTTTGGCTGCCAGTCTGCTTCTGGGTGCAATTCAAGGTGTTGGGTTTTTGTTTTTGTTTGTCTGAAAAGAAAGATCCTTCCAACTTCACTCCCCACCCTCTATCCCCTGTCCCCTGTCAGTTTTCTTAATTTTGCCCTTCAGAATTTATTTTATGGATTCATGCTTTGCACTTACCCAAGTAGTAATATAAATCCAAGCATTTGTCTGATCAATTTTACTCTGTCTTCATTTGCGGAGATAAAAAGGGGAGAGAAAATGTGAAATTGACCAAATTCGCTAAGGCTCAGTAGTATAGAAAGATCCTGGAGGACTGGCCTACAGGGCCTAAATTCATGGAATGGCCTTTTAATATATTCTAGCTGGTGGGACCCTTTGTTTGAAAAGCAGCCAATGATTATCAGCCCCACCGTAACCCTGTCTAATCACCCCTTCTTTGCATTCAGTAGCATGACTGGTGGTAACATAGGAAGGGAGAGAAATAGTTGGGAACCCACCAGTTACTGCCTTGACACTACAACACATTCACTTGTGGGCAGCAGCACTGATCTGCTGAGGTGTAAGAGTAGTTTGTGCAAGCTGTGCTTCATGTACCAACATGTACCACTTTCATGACTGGAAAAAAACCATTGGGTTTGCAGCATGGAGGATATGCCCTGACATCTTTTTTTTTCTGTCATGTTGACACAGATTAAACTTAACTTTGACCTCAGCCAACACATGAGGGACTTAAGTTGTTCTAAGCTACTAAATTGATATTAAACTGATATTTTCCATCATAAGAGACCAAGTGTAATTTGATGATGTATCAATTCTGTTAGCCTTTTGAGGAAAATTAGGAAAAATAATAGGGATTGACAATGGAAAAAAGAAAGTTCCTGCTAGGCGTAGTTCTCTTCCAACTCAAGGATAGGGTGGAGACCACTTACCTCAGCAAGTGGAAAGTCCCTCTTTCTTCATACCCTGAGATAATTAAGATCAAGAAAACAAGCAATCAGGTTGACACAAACCCTTCAGGTGATATTGCGCAAACAATACATTTCACAGGGTTATGCAGATTGTCCTTCACTTATAAGCCTGCCTTCTTTTTTTTTCATTCTTACCAAAAAAGGAAAAAAATATGAAAAGAGGCACAATAATTACATGATGCCTATGGATTATTCAGGAGCCTTTTGAGGTTGCTAACATGGAGATTCAGTGATTTTCTGAAAATGCAATTCTGAAATGTCATTTCAAGACAATATAGTTGGGAAAACATCTATTCATGTTCCATCTCTGGCAATTATGTGAAATAATGAAAGCCATTTCAGAGTCAACATTTAGAATGGAAATAATATGATCAGTTGACTATATGTATGACCAAGTGACCAAAGATGGAAGACCTTACATCCATTTTTTCTCCCTTTTTACTTCAGCTTCTATTTTTCTCCCCTTTTGAATTTAGAAGGTGGGTCTTTGATTAAAAAAAGGCATGGATCATGATTATTACAAAAATAAAATGAAAAGATTAAGTATTATGTGTGTTCACCACCTTGAGTTATTTATAAAAATACTAAAGAAAGGATAAAAGTCAAATAAAATGGGATTTCACTGGCAAGCCCTTTTCTTCTTCACTCTTTTAAACAAATAACCCAGATTTATTGTCAATATTGAGATGACAATACAAACTATGGAAGAGAAAATATGATCGATTATGATACCATTAGTCTTTTTTTTTTTTAAGAAAAATCTGCATTTTAAAAATTTGTGGAGTTTTTTTAAAACTGCATTGTGATCTTTGAGCATATCAGGAAACATTAAATAAAGTCAGTTGATGAAAAGTACTTCAGCGTGTCAGTACCCCGTGGGCAGAGTTAAAGTTTAAATAAATCTCCATGTTAAGTTGATGAATTGTTCATGCTTACATAAGATGCTGGAGGAAGAATCTCTAAGAGCATTGGTTTGGCATTCAGCTGAAGTGTGGATGTTAGAAATGTTTAGCAGGGTAGAAGAATAATGTTTGCTTTAACAAGACAGCAATCAACCTGCAGGAGGTCTTTAAGTGATCTTGGATGTGCTTAGCTGTTTTAGCCATCCCAACTTCTTTCATAATTAGTACTTAATTATTTTGAACTACGCTGCTAACCATCTTATAATGAATTTTTCTTTTTACTTTGTCAATCATTGTAATCTACCATTCTGTTTTTGCTGCTTGATGGGGTTTTAAAGGAGCGGTAGAAGGATTTGATTGGCTAGGTGGCAAACACATATATAAATTAATTTTATAAGCATTCATTCTCATTATTTCTTTGCACATTTATTTTAACACATTTCCAAAAAGCTTTTCAAGAAAGCCTTTCTAATGCAATTTACAAACAACGATATAATTAATGATGCATATACATTTAGGTAAATGTAAAACATAAAGGTTCAGAAACACCGATTATTTTTACATTTATTTATTTATTGTTTCAGTTTCTACAATGGCTTACTAACTATGACTCTGTGAGCCTGGGTATTAAAAGTCCAAGTCATAAAACAATTAGTTGAAATCTATTAAGATTGCTAAATTTCAGACTTTGGTCATTATGCTTAATGAGATTTCTGTTTACTGGTAAATTTGTAGGATTTCTGCATTTTGCTATAAGTTCTCATGAGACTTGATGGTTTTTTTTTCCAAATTCCAGTCATATACATATGTATACAAGTGTAGGAAATGGGAAAAGGCACACATAATCAGAGGAACTTCCAGGTAATCCCAAAAGACTGTAGGTCTGTCTCAAAAAAACAAAACAAAACCCTAACGCTCTGAAGAAACAGACTCCGTAAGACAATTAAAATTACACTTTATTGAGAAAGGCTATTGTAAGAGAATCTTGCAAGCCTGACTAAATTTTGTCTTTCAAGTCTCTAATATCTCAGGGAATCAGGGAGGGGCCGGTCTGAGTCTTTTCCTCCTTTGCCTGTTTCCTAGCCTCAAAGCATTTTTTCACATGTTGTTGTGCAGCAGTCCCTGACTACTTTTTCCAAAGTCATTGCCTGAACCTATAACCATATATTTAGTGACCATTTGAAGTTATAATCTCTGGGCAGTGATATCAATTATGCCAAAAATCAACAGTTGCTCAGCCTCAGAGT